AATTCGGAACCCTAGTCATCATACTGAAAATTTGTATATATGTAAATAATTATTTTGAAGCTGATTTTCAAAAGTGATAAATTTACTATTTTATTTTATTTTATAAACAAAAAATAGTTTTAAGCAAAAGATGAAATTTAAATATTTATTCACATAAATATTACCCACAAATAAAATGCTTCCACATATTATAGCCACCGTGCATTATGTCATAAATATTGCATACTTTTGTGCGCATTATTGTGTCAGCAATTTTAAATTTTTTATATTACACTTATATATGCATTGGTGCCTGCATATGCGTGTGATTGTGTATTTTTAATTAAAAGTATTGAGTGAGAGTTGTTGAAAAATTGCAAAATAAGCGCGAGTGAGTGTATGTGTATGGGTAAATATTTGATGTCAGCGCCGTTGGTAACCCTTACGCATACACCAATAAATAAACAAATAAATATTTACACATATCCGTTTAATTACACAGATGATCTTATGTGGCCCAGAGAATGTATGCAGTAAGCTAAGTAACAGCGCTCTTCGTTGTTTTTATTGTAGAGCACGTACAGGTGGACAAGTGGTGAGTGTAAATATAAATGTTAATTGATTTTTTATCGCTTTCACTGTTTTCAATGCGCTCAAGTATCGTTTTAAATGCCAGTATATACTTTAAATGGGGAAAATTAATTAACACTTATGGACCTCAACACTTGTACACCCTCACATAAGCATCCACACTCATATCCGAGCTAAAGTTTCATACTTTTATTCAATGTACTCAGCTGCAGAGGGCTTTGTGTGCAGAGAGTTATGAGATCATATAAATGGGTTACATTTAAAAGAAGTGTCAAATTAATTGCGGTTTTGTTATGTGGCGGTAAAGATGATAATTATAGTAATGACACTTCATTATTCAACGTATAGTAAAATGAGTGAGTTTGAAGTCAAAGAGATGAGGTCCAGAATAAGAAATTATTGGCGAAAAGTTTTTATAGCTTTTTCAAGCTTTCGCTGGAGGAGAATAGAATATGGCAGATAAAGAGAGGGGAGAGAGGGACAGAGTAAGAAAGAGGGAGTAAGGGGAACAAAGCGAGTGAGAGGAATGTGGAAGAAGGAAGAATGAAAACACAAGAGAGATAGAGGATGATAGAGAGATCGATAGAGTGAAAAGGAAAAAGTGAGTCCGAGCGTAAGAAAAAGTGGTACAGTGAAGAGAGGTAAGGAAGGGAAAGCTCGGGGAGAAAGAGAGAAGGGAAACGCGAAAGAGTTAGGGGAGAGAGTGAGAGAAGTTAAAGTGAAATGAAAAATTTAGTGAGAGCGAGAGAAAAAGTGGTTCAGTGAAGAGAGGTAAAGAGGAGAGGAACTAGAAAAATTGAGAGGCTGAGAGAGATAAAGGGTGATGGAGAGAATGAGTGAGAAAGACAAAGTGAGTGAGAACGAGAGAAACAGTGATAGGTAGGGTTATAAAGAGAGCGAATAAATGAGTGAGAGATAGCGTGTCAATTAGAAAGGGAAAGAAAAGGCAGGTGAGAGAATTTCAGACACCTTGAGATTTAGTGCGCAAATAAATAAAGGAACTTCTTGGTGGATTATGGAAAAAAAGAAAAGATTGAGGAGAATTTGAAAACTGAAAAGGAAAATTTATAAGAATACAAAATATTGCCTTTAAAAATTTGTTTTAAAATTAAATGTTCATATGTCGCAGCACCGTAAGTAAAGCTTTTCTCTTTAGAGCCTGCATATGATGTATCTTTAGTAGTGATATTATTCTGCCTTATACACTCAAATGTAACTAGTTGCATATATATAGTAGTTATAAATTTGTTACTCACCAATAAATTCAGCGGTGGGTTCTCGTCAAACAAATGGTAATTGGAAACTAGTGTAATATTCCCAATACGACCGCGCTCCACCATACGCGTGATGGCCTCACGTATGCGATTCGAATCGCCCTTCACGCCGAAGAAATGAAATGTGATGTCTAAGCGATCGGTGCTGTTCGAGATTAATTCTAAATCGCTGATTTTTGTGATGTTGAAATTGCGTAAAACACGCATGAGCTGGAAGGAAAGAAAATTAAAATTTAGTTTATTTAAAAATTGGTTTTTAGATTACAGAGGGAACATATTTAATAATATTTAATTTGAAGTATTACTTTAGGGGTTCAATTATTTTTATTTAATATTTTTCAAAAATTTTATAATACAATTTACAAAAATTTTCTTATAGTTTCGGAAATCTTAGAGTATTCAAAGCATATGGCTGGAGAGTTGACCAAAATTTTGACTCTACTCTCTAAGATAGATTTGTCACGTAGTAATTGAAACAATAAAACTTTCGCTCATAACTGCGATAAAATGAAGACACTTTGAAGTGCAATTTTTTTAATAAAAAAAATTTTTTTTGGGAACGAGACTTTGCTATTTAATAAAAAATATCTTTTTCATATTTCTATGTTATAAAAAAATCCCTCTTCAAAAAATATTCAAAAAACAAGTAAGGAAGGGCTAAGTTCGGGTGTCACCGAACATTTTATACACTCGCATGACAAGTTTCCTCAAGATATCTCAATTTTTACTCGCATGACAAGTTTCCTCAAGACATCTCAATTTTTACTCAAGTTACAGCTTGCATGGATGGAAGACAGATATCCGGATTTCAACTCTACTCGTCACCCTGATCACTTTGGCATACATAACCCTATATCTGACTAGTTTAGTTTTAGGACTTACAAACAATCGTTATGTGAACAAAACTATAATACTATAACTATAATTCTCCTTAGCAACTTTGTTGCGAGAGTATAACAACACTTCTGTGGAGATACATACATATACCCCTATAATGTAAATATCTAAAGTTTTTTCAATTGTATTATACGCCTATTTGTATGCTATACAACTCCATCGTTCGTATTTCATTTATCCCTTAATATTCTTTTTTTGATTTTTTTTTTACCTTCTACTGCTGTTGCTTTTTAAATTTCTGTTTCCATTTTCAGGTAATCAATAAATAAAATTATTTCATTTCGTTATTCCCTGCTTTATTTCTCTCTCTCTCTTTTACTTTAGAAGAAATAAAAATTTGTACATTCATTTTGCTCTGGACATTTCTTAAGTAATTGCTTGATGTGATGGAAAAAAAATTTAATGAAATAATCCAATAAAATTTGCAGGGAAATATTTGTTATTAAAAGAATTCATAAGACGGAGGTTTTAAAGGGAAATTGAACATCACGAATATTAGTTATTTGAACATCGCATGAGAACACAAATATTTCTTAGGCTAGGTTAGTCCGGTAGGCCAATGAGCCACGTTTATGTTATTTTGGTTATTTTCGATATCAGATGGAGTTCAGTAACTAGGTTCATGTGGAGTAAGAATCCTTTAGGATGCCTATGCTTGACGCAAATTTCAACAGAGTCTGTAGCCCCATTATCAATACCTCTTCGAGTGGATCATACCATGGGGATTACAGATGCTTGCAGCCTAGTCCTGCCCATTCGAGAAAAAGGCACAAGAGATGCTCCATTGTTTCCCTGGTGCCTTACCTTAGACATTTTATGCAGTCTTTTTGACTTTTCAGTCCTATCCTGCAGGCGTGTGTTGCCAACAAACAGTGCCCAGTTATTATTCTGTTCATGCTTCTACAGTATCATCTATCCAGTGCCAATAAGGCTTTCGTGAACGATTTACCGATTATCCGTTTTGCACATGACTTTTGCAGTTTTACGCGTAGGTAGCTAATTTCATCAGGTTTAGATAACGTATAATTTTTATTTGCTGAACGGTGTGCGCGCAATAAGTTTATAGTCTTAAATACTTCTATGAGCCTTTTTAGTCTATTTTTTAGCACTTAACTAAGTAAGTATATCTGTTTGATTAATTTGTCGAAATCAATATAAAAGTTCCATGTAAAAAGTTGGTCAATAGTAATCGCAAGCACCCAATATGTACATAATTAATATATTAGTAAAAGAAGAGGTGGAGAGAATTTCTAATGACGTCATATAATTTTATTTCTCTGGTCAGTATATACCAAAATACACACTTATACATATAACAAGAAATGTGAAAAAACTATAAGTATTTTTATAAATATACGTGTTGAGTAAAAACCATAGATTATAGAAATAAAAAAAATCTCTACTCTTTTCTTCCAACAACTATTCATATGAGAGCTTTGATAACAATGTGGTTTCATTTTAATATTTTTTATGGGTTAAGTGATGTTAATCAAACAACTACTAGAGTTGTGCTACCTTAGTGTGAAGTTTATTCGAATGCTTATAGTATTATAACATTAGGGTGAGGCCAAGCAATTATGATATACAATTTATGGGTTAATATGAAGCAAGACACGATGTTCGTACATACATACATATGTCGTACGTATCTATATAGAAAAAGAAAAGCCGGTATTTTTCGGCATATTTTATTCATATACAAACTGAAAGTAGCAGATTTTATAAATTTTTGCAGTTCTCAAGTAAAAATATTCATAGTGTTTTGTTTTTAAAAAACAATTTGCCCCTTCTAGTTAATTTTTGCTTTCATTTCGCCTTTTTTATTAAATACTTATATTTATATTTTTTGCTTTGATCACGACCACGTCAAAGTAGATCAAAAATCAAGGATATGTTGGCAGTTTGCCTCGATTGTCGAGATGTTGCGAACGCCGCATTCCTTCCGACGGGCCAAACTATCAACGAGGAATAATACTTGAGAGTTCTGCGTTATTTGCGTCCAGCTATTCGTAAAAAAACTCTTGATTTATACACCACGATAATATACTCTCGCATACTTAATTGAATCTTCGTGATCTTTACGTCAAATTTTCAACCAATATTGTGTCGCAACCACCGTATTCACCTCATTTAGCTCAGTGTGACGACCGCTCCGGGGAATCGCCACACACATCGAAGGTTATTCTGGAAATTGACTTTAACAACTGTTACGAGGATTGATAAAAAAAAACAACGTTGCCGCAAGTGTATTGTAGCCAAGGGAGATTATTTTGAAGAGGTCTACATAAATTTCGAGGAATACATTAGGATTTTTTAAATTATGAACAAGGTCTAACAATTTTTTGTTCACAGTATTATATTGATTTAAACCTTTGAAACATTAAATATAAAACAATTTACTTGGAAATTTCTTTTAGTTTTTTGTTTTTTGGAAATTTTTGCTCTAAGAGAATCTACGATTTCTTTACTTCGTAACCATTAAATCTGTTGTCTGTTTTTTGCCCTCCTTAATGAACAGAAATAGAGAAAAATTTGTGGTTGTTAAAACTTATATCTTCTTCTTTATTGACATAGACGTTGCGCGGTTATAGCCGAGTTTACAACAACGCAGTCGTATAAATAAAAATTTTTCTTTCAACACTTTCATCCATTTGTAGATAAACAATAAACACTATATTTGGTATACTAAGGCATAAATTCCTGACTGTCCCCACCAAAGCCACAATTCCGTTGAGTTTGTATTTATTACTAGAAATCCAAGTAGTTAAATACTGATTTTATTCTGTGCCATAAAAAGTACTAATTAATACATTTCTGCTTTGGGCATGAATAACAATTTGCGCTATAATGTCATAAACCTAAGAGAATACAAGGCAATAAAAAGAGGAGATAATAAGGGTAGATAATAATAGCTAACAATGGAATGGGTACAAAAGCTTAATACATTACTGCAACTCGTGTTATTATTTGTTGTCAGTCATCGATTAGAATAATTAGTTAAGCAAGGCTATTATGGTATATCTTTCTATAGCGCCTTTTTCTTTCTATAGCAACTAAATGTCAAGGGAGTCTTCTTAATCATCACCTATTTTATGGAATAGGAATATGATAGGAATCTATTACCATATATTATGAGTATAATCTATTTCTCTATACATGAGAGTTAGTGTGAGTAATTTCCAATGCAGTCCATTACCTCGAAGCTCTGAGTATGAAGCTTAGTATTAAATAGAATGACAGCTTTGAAATTTGAAAGCTCTTACTAGATATGGTAGTAGCAGAGGAGCTTGAGTTGATCAGACCCATTTGCCACATGAGTTAAGTAGAAGATGCGAAGGACAGAATAAGTTTAGAGTAGAGTAAAATTTATATCTATCATTATCTTACTCCATGAACCAATAACTTAAAAATAGGTCTGCCGATTTCTGTTTACAATTCGCTTAATTGCTTTAACTGTTCCTTTTCATTGCTGAAGAGAGCAGCTAACATTTCTTTTTAAAGCTATTTCTCTTGACATTTGCATTTTTCAGGTTTTTCAGTCTAAACATTACACCTGATAACAATTTCACAGCACATTAATGTTAATACATTCCTGCAGATAGTACTATAGAGGCTTGAAAACGCATCAAAAGGAAAAGCCAAAACGACAAACGACGGATGAAAATATGTGTGAAGAGCGTAAAAGATAAATGTATTAGCACAAAATTGTATTACTGTGTATTACAACAAAAATATGTGGTTGTTGCAGGATTACAAATATACAGATGTATGTGGTTAGAAAGACAGCTTAGCTTAGTAGATAAAATAAAATAGATTTTGTGATTTTTCGCCTTTTTTGTAAAACAGCATGATAAACAAGTCTGCGACAGAGAAATCTTTGCAATAAAAATATTTTTTTGACTTGACTTGAAGTGGGAAAAAGGAAAAGTGGGAAGAGACGGGTAAGATGGTTTTGAAAGGCAGATACAATTTTCAGATAAGCACTTCTTAATTTAAGGCATAATTCTATTTTCAATAACCGACAAATAAGAGAAAAAAATAACACAAAGAAATGGTTTATTTTAAATGAAGCATATAACTATTTTTAGCATAAATCCCCATATTTGTATAAAAGGAAGCTTTGCAAAATATATAATGTAACTGATAATCTTACAAATCACTCAACAGATGCATTGAAAGGAACATACTTTATGCTACGTTTTATTTTTACTTTATCACAATTAAATGGGTATGCGACTGCACCTACAAAAAATATTCATTTGCATATTTTATCAATCCGCCTAAATGTATGCTTACTTCTGCTGTATGTTATA